ACGATAGTTTGCGCCTCCGCGGTGGCCGGGTCTACAGGCAATTGTTGATATGCCTGTGCTAAGTCTAATTTAGCGAAAACTTTTCCGCCGCCCAGAGAATGGAGCAAGTGTTGCACTACCGGCACTGGATATGCACTCTGCTGAAGTGCATGGTTTAGGGTGGCCCGGTAGTCTCCGCAAATTCTCAGGGAGCCATCCGGCTTGATAGGTGTCACTATTGGGGTTTCCCACCGGGCGTGGTCGGTGGGTTCCAACACGCCCTGCGCTATTAATTTATCGAGTTGTTCGTCGATTTTAGGCTTCAGGGCGAAGGGCACCCGACGCGGCTTAAGGCGGATGGGTGCTATCTCAGGGTTCAAGTTAAATGAAATTGGGGTCCCCTTATACTTGCCTAATCCATTCGCGAAAACGTCTTGGAATTCTTGCACGAGTGCTTCCTCCCAATCGTTGCTTTTGGCCCGGTGGACTCCGGCTACAGTGATCCCCAGTGGTCTGAACCATTGCAAGCCCAAGAGGCTAGGCCTGTCACGGTCAACGACAGTCAGGGATAGTGCGACGGTGCGGTCCTTGAAAGAGACCTTGAATCGGCGGGAACCGACAACGGGAATCCGGTTACCCTGGTAATCTTTGAGTATAACCCTTTGAGGGTTGAGGTCCTGGCGGCGAATCGTTGGAAGGAGCTGTTGGAGCGTCTTCCAGGACACCATCGAGAGTGACGAACCTGAGTCTACCTCCATTATGCAAGGTTTGTTCTCGATAGCGACTTTTACTCTGATTTTCCCGGCATCAAAGGACGTAGCGTGGCCTCTGGTAATTGTTTGGTGGGTCTCTTCCCGCCTGGTTTCTTCACGCCTGGTGGAAGTGGTGGACGGTTTGTTTCTGTAGGAGTGGCTTCCCCATTGGTGATTCAGTTGGTCTCAGTGTGTACCGAGGAATCCTGAAGACTGGTATTTGGCCTGTCGGGGTTTGGAGTTGGTGTTCTGCTTGCTTCTGCAAACCTTTGCGATGTGACCTCTTTTCCCGCAAACGCTGCAGAGTGCATCAAGGAATTTGCAGTTGGATCGTGGGTGATTCGCTCCACATCCTGCACAAGGCCGAGCGGATTGTGGTGTGAACTGGTCTCGTTCAGTTCGGAGTCGGTGGACCTCTTCCTCATCACTATCTGACGGGGATTCTAGGTCTTCGTGGTGAGTCGATACCGTATGTCTCTCTGTGCGAGGTGAGGTATCTTTGGCGAGTTGACGTAGCGGTGCGCTGGTGCAGCGAATTCGGGCTGCCGACTTTTTAGTGGCTTCTGCTGCCGTGGCTTCTTTAATGGCATCGGTGAGGCTGATGTCCCCCTTTGCCATAATTTTGCTCTGGATCGTGCAGTCTTCGAGGCCCAGAACTAGGCGGTCCCGGAGGGCTTCTTCTAAGTCAGAGAATCCGCAGAGGCCTCCGAGGTTCCGGAGGTCCGCAATGTAGTTGGCAAGACTTTTGCCTTTCTGTTGGACCCTCTGGTAATATTCGTGTCTTCTGACTAAGATTGGAATGGTGGGCGCGTAATGGGCCTGTAGCAAAGGCTCGAGGACGTCCCAGTCCATTGTTTTTACCTCGGCTGGCTTGGCAAGTGATTTTGCCATTTTAAACACGGTCGGGCCGCAATGGGTTAGGAACACAGCTCTTTTTTTGCTGGCCGTTGCGTCTTTCAAGTTGTTGGTCTCTAGAAACATCTGAAACCTATCCATATACGACTCCCATTCTTCGGTTTCGGGGTTGAATGGAGCGGGTGGTACGGCACCGCTGGCCATGTCGCCGTTGATAGTGCGTATTCGACCACGTGCTCTGTTCGTTGCTCTGTCGATTAGTCAGCTCTTCGGTCTCCAGATCCCACCTTCGTCGCCAGTGTTATGTATGGGAAATAATGGAGACCAGACATCTGACCAGTGACTTCAACTCTTTAATAACAGTAACTAGAATAGAACAGAGCAAGGCTATGGGCAGCAGTAACCCTTTTATAGGGTTGGCTGCTGCCCTATTATCCAATGATATATGCAACAAGTCCAACTAAGGTCCAATAAGAAGTGTCCAATAGTGGCCAATCAGGGGTCAGTTATGGCCCAATCCCTGACACGTTTTTAGGACCAATCAGGTGTTCAGGCTTCCAAACCCTACTTTGCATTTGGACCACATTACTTTTTTATTGATTCATAACAGGGTGGATTACTTGTATCCCACCTTTATTATTTTTACAAATAACTCAGTGGTGATCTTATCCAACACACCTTCTTCCTCCAGTTTTCCCCACAACAACAACAGTGCGAGAGGGATTGAGCTGAGAGAGAGAGGTCACCAGTTGTCTTTCATAGCTAAGGCAGGACTAGAACTCACACTCTACCTTAACCACTAGTGACTAGACCAAACTGGCTCTCAAATCAAATTATGATTTGTTTTTCTTGGTAGTGGTGGTAAGTTAATGGTTGAAAAAATTTGTCCCTCCTGCTCTTATTCAATTCTGATTCAAGATTTAGATAATGCAACAGAAAATTTAAATCTCATGTAATACTAGCTGTATAGGCATGCTTCGCTACAAAACTATGTGATCAGGATTAGTTTTTTGGGAGGAAAATAAAGGGAAAAAATTCTGCCTCTGCCTACCAGAATCCATTGGTATTCATCTGGCTAGTGTCCTGTCAGTGTGGGAGAGAGTTGAGGGCTGTTTGGAAACTGAAACATGGAAACTGAAACAGTATATGCTGTGTGAGCAAGAAGGACAAAGCAAGGATCCTGGGCGTGGCTTATCTCAACTGTTCTGTACTAAAGCTGCTTGCGGCTCTGAAACTGAAATTGAAACTCCTCTCCTCTGCTTGTGTTTTGCATTTGGAAGAGATTTCTTTTCAGGTGGGGAGGGGGAGAAGAACTCCTTAGCATCAGAGCATGTTAATAAATATAATATAGGAAATACTAATGCTCTGATGGTCATTTTGAAAAATCCTTTCTTAGTAAGCCCCTAGAAGCCAAGAGGAACATACGTGCCAAATTTAGAGTTTGTAGGCTTTACGGTTCTGGAGATTTTTGTGATGATGCGTGAGTGGTATTTCACTTTTATATAGATTCTTAAAAACCTTCTATTTAAGAAACCATATTTTTTTATTATTAGCACCACTGTATCACATTACAAATATTAGAAATGACATTGTATTAATGCTCTTTTAAGGGATATATTTGGCTGAATATTGATTGTAAATAATGCTGTTTATAATGGAAGTGTTAAACAGTTCCCAGATTAATTTTGTTGAATTGATCCACTAAATACTACAATGTGATTAGATTATCACAATTAGTAATGTCATTTTTTTTTAAACCAATGCTCTTCTCTATTTGTTCCCCGCCAAGCCTTTATTTCTTTCAGTCCTACCATTCACTGGAAGGTTTAACAAATGGCAATCATTAATCAGGAACAGAACAAACAACTCTTCTTAGAGACAATATCTGTAATTTTTCCAAAGGGGAAATGACCGACCATTTGTGACCTTGGTTTAGTGATGGATTTGATGATTGTATTCTAATTTAATTTCTAGATCCTGCTTGGTTAGACTTTCGGTTTGCAGAACTTTTGTGAGTTCTATCATTTTTTAAAAATTCTCATCCAAAATTTACCACTGAAAGTTGGTCATTTCTCTGCCAAATTTCAACACTGATTTCCCTTTTTTCATTTCCTGGAACTTTGTAGAGACAGGGAGAATTGATCTTAATTTAATGCCTTCTTTCTTTCTGAGAAATATATACCAAAATTAGAAAGCCTTTTTTCCTTTCTTTTTACCAAAAGTCAGAATGCATCATCTGTCTTCTGTCTTTTCTAAAAACAACAACATTCCAGCTGGGCTGGTTTTGTTTTTGTTTTTAATATAATGGATCCCATGGCTTGTTTCTCTTTTAACTTATCTATTATGCTGCAAAAATAGATCCGCCAGTGAGACAGAATGACATAATCATCAACAGCATTCTACAACTGTTTGGATTAGAGAAAAAATATGAAATTTGGAAAAGCAGTCTAGCATTTGAATTTGCGAACTTTGAACCCTTTGCTTTCTTTATTCATGTCAGAAGCACCTTCAGATTATAGTCATGTAACATTCAACACTAAGCAAACAAAATAGGTCATAGAAATATAGCACATGTAAAAAATAAGTAGAATAAATAGTATTAAAACTAAGTGATATTAGCCCAGTATTGGGCTACATCGACAGTATATTCTCTCACTAGTATGAGGTCTTCTGTTGAAGGACATTGTATGCACCATAGCATGTGTGAGATGGATTGTTCTTCACCACATTCACACAGGGTAGCTTCTATAAGAAAGCCTCATTGTCTTACATCAAAGGACAATCTAGAACCCTTTGCTGATCTGCTTTGAATGTTTGAAGTAGATGGTTCCTGGTGGAGTCATCCTAGTTGGGAGTTGGTGAATTGTATCCAACCACTGGGAACTGTTAGACATATGTCAACCACCCCAATGGAATAATTCATAGCATCTTTTAGGACATTCCATATAAATTCTTGAGCTCCCCACTCTCCATCTTATTCCTTGTCTTCTTCCTCTTCTACTTCCTGTAACCTTGCCAATATGATCATTCCCCACCTCCTAGTCCATCATCATCATCTCACATCCCATGCCTAAACTACCTGTGTTTCTGCTTACAGTTGATCACTTCAAGCATCAAAGTCAGACTTTATTTAGTCCAGGACTGACTGATTGTTAATTCAGATCATCCTGCAGTCTTTGGTTCCTTTTTGTAACACGAGCTGGTCATTAAAGCAACTTACTGTGCATATCAATTTCATTTTTCCCATCTTGATGGACATTTTGGATGAGTAAAGCAGCAGGGAAATAACTAGAAGGGTTGTATGTGGATGCTTTCAATATCTGCAAAGTCTGTGAATCAGATAGGATGATTACCCATTAAGAAATTCATTAGAGATTTATTTGACCACTCTATTGATTAAAGTACTTTTTTTTAAAGGTAGTACAATTGTTGTCTATTTGGGCTTCTTTTAAAATGGAAAAGGTTTTGCCAACCCCTGTCATCATCTGGAAAGGATTTTGCATTGAAAGCCATAAGCAGTCCGTATAAGATGATTGCTAAAATGTTAAAAGGCAATTAAGAGATATTGGTTTGGTGGAATATATAATTGCACACATTACATACAGTATATTTAACTAGTAAAACACAAATAAATGTTACATTAAGGAGACAGTTTAATATGTGATTATCTGAACACGACAATTACCAGTACATTATTTATTAATTGTATTATCACAAATATTTCTCATAAATCCACATTTTTTTAAGTAGCCTCCAAAGTGCAACAAACTGAATTAAATTATATGAAATGGCCCCAATGCTTGTTCGTCTTTTGACAGTTGCCCAAGCAAACCTTGTACAGCCTTGTGAAACCTTGATAGGTTTTTTTTTTAGAATATCAGAATGAATAAGGCCATTTGGCTCATGTTCTGAAATTATAGGTGAATGTCCTGTTCTTGCTACCCAGTCAAACTTAGAAGGATGGTTGAATTAAAACTCACAGATGATTAATCGATTTGAATTGCAAGTAATGTCATTCCATTGGCCATCCGGGTACAACTCTATGCAATCTTCTTCTTGTCCATTAGGTTCGCCACCTGCCCATCGTGAGTATCGCATTGGGTCCCCGTTGAGGTGCTTAAAAGTACCTTCTGTCTCCCGGTCTGTCATCCCAAGAAAAGCGTGTCTTCCAAACTTGGAAACCAGTTTTGCTAGAGCAGCGTTTTCTTCCTCATTTCTTGGAGAAGCCAGTTTTCCTCCAAATTTGGAGCAGGTGGCCTTGGCAGTTTCAAAGTTGGCTTCAGCTCCATTAGATGCAAATTTTTTGGTTCCGATTATGGTGAAGGTTGGGAAAGCAGACACTTGAATATCTAAGAAAGGAAAGAACCAAAATGAATTCTTTCTCGGCTGTTTTCATGGCGAGAACTCCATTTTAGGACCCATCCTGATCTTGACATCAAATGAACCAGGGGTGGGCTTCAAAAATTTTAGTAATGGGTTCTCTGCCTGGTTGCTGGGTAGGCATGGCCATAGTGGGCATGGCCTAGTCGGCCTCCTGCACCACAGTCTCTAGAGTTCCACTCTGATACCTTGATCTCTACCCCAAATGTTTGTCTGTGTCTGTCTGAAAGAAAGATAGATGCAAAAGCTTTCCTTGAACCTCCAGGAGGACGAAAATGGCCTCCCTGGGCTCTGGAGGCTGTAAACAGTCCCATTTCCGGCCTTCCTGAACTTCCGGGAGGCCTGTTTTTCACCCTCCCTGAGCCTCCATGTGCGCCCTGCACTTACCTGCATCCAAAATGTATAGGGATTCCTGGGAGGGGCAGGGTGGGGTGGGTGGGGCCAGCCAGGAGTGGGATTTGGGGTTCTCCTAACTGCACAGAATCTTACTAGCGGCTCTCCCAAACCCCTGCAAACTCCCAGCAGTCCCCTCCCCCGAAATGAACCAACGGAACATCAGGAAGTATCAGAGCAAAGTATTTATAGAGGAGAAAATTTGTAACCCAGGGTTAAAATGAGAGATCGTTTGTGCTCTCTGAGCTTGGTTGTTTTCTTACAGATGTTTCATTACCAAACTAGGTAATAGAATCATTGCATGATGATGTTATCAAGTTGGCAATGAAACATCTGTAAGAAAACAACCACGCTCAGAGAGCACGAAGGATCTGTTAGGAATATAAGTCACCTAACAGCTATTTGGGTTGGACAATATATAAACCAGGATAGACATTTTAAAACTGTATCTTTAAGAAAATGCAAAAGTGTAATTGGGTGTGGTTTCTCAAATGGCCATAAGATGGAGCCAGAAACCTGGGTTGTTTAGTCTTAGCCTTAGTCTCAGAAGAGAGTGTGAGTGAGTCTCTGTTTTTCCTTCTGTTGGAGAGTATTGTTGTTTCTTCTAATTGACTGCTATTCCTGGATTTGATGTAAATCTGATACTGAACTGTTTTTGATACTGGACTTTGTTATTGGATTATCCCTGGATTGAAAACTGACCGATTTACCTGTGAATGACTTTGGACTGCTTGTTTTAAACTTTGCTTAAACCTTTCTGGAAGTAAAAACCTACATTTACTGTAGAGTGAATCTGTGTGCTGTGTGTGTATTATTCAAACACTACTCTCAATACGTCTCCCTGTATGCGCTCATTCTCCTAACGGGGAATTACCTCATCAGGATCCCTCTAAAGTATTTATGAAAGTCTTTGCAAATATTCCTAATGAAACTGATCTGTGTTACCTTCCTGATTCTTTCTTGCAGTCTCTTTCAGGACCTTCAGCTCTGCCTGTAAATCACGAATCTGAGTTTTGAGAACGTCAAGCTCTAAAGGGTATGAAAGGAGAGGATTATTCCGTACTTCTGTCAGAACCAAAATATATTTTTAAAACAATGTCTGAAAGCTTCTTGGCTGGTGAAATGTGACACAGACTTACTGAGTTGAAACACAAGCTGGCTCATACATTGCATGGTGTCAATAGTTCGCTCCTCCTTAAGACCTGTGTCAGCCTTGGAAGTCATATTTCACTTGGAAGCTTTGAGCACATTCAGTGCCTGGGAATTTGGGAGGGGGGATTTCATAGAGAGCTGGAAGATTAGACATTCTTTCTCAGAGAGTCAAGGACAAGTCAACCTGCACCTGGAGGGGAGTGACTGGAGGAAGGTCTCCAGTTGGGATGGATGGTTGATTGGACCATGTGATGGACTGGTGGATGCAGGAGATGGATCTTTGATTTCTCTTTTGGGAAGGGAAAACCTGGAACTCACAGATTCGGGTTTTCCCAGATGTGCCAATATGACTTTTCTAATAAATTCTTACTTGGATGAACTTGGTTTCTGAGTGCTGAATGATAATTGGGGAGTTTCGTTGGAATGCTGACAACCTGACTGTTTCCCCAGGAATTGTGATTAAATGCCCCCCCCATGTGTAGGGTTATTGTTATTGGGCACCTGGAGGTGTATGTTGTTGAGGAGGGGGTTTTCATGCTTGTATGCACCCAGAGTCACTTGTGTGAGATGAGTAGATAAACAACATAAATAAATACCCTTTCAGTCTAGTTTCAGCCCTGTTATTTTTTTTCTCCTATGTTAGGTTATATTGTAAACCATCCTAAATTTTCCAAACAGGGAGGGCCACAGTGTAAAAATATTCATTTTAAACCTTTCATCAAAACAGCCAGATTCCACCCCCCCCCCCCCGTTTCCATTTCAACCACCCCTCCCTCTTTCCTGGGATTTAACCTTCATCTCATTCATTACTATCAAAGTTGGACAACATCCAGAGGTGCTCAGAGTTCTTGCAATTCCTCACTCTTAACCATATTGAAGGGACTTCAGGAAGACCAAACTTCAAATTGTCTTCTGTAGCAGTTAACACCATGGAGAACACTTTGGACTTCTGTGAGATACTGCCAATGGCCTAACTATTGATAGACATGGCTATCAACAAAAACTAGAACTAATGTAAAACTTCTCCCTAGTCCAATTCCACAAAGCAGATCAAAAAATATTCAAGACGATAATGTCAAAATTATCAAAGCAACAAATAGGAAAAAAAATCTACTGAGCTCCTGAATATTTCAATTTCATTGCACACATGTTGTGCATTGACAATAAACATTTGATTTGATTTGATATTCAGGAGGATTGGAAGCCAGAACAGATATTTCATTTCAGATACTTTTTGGATCACCTATTACAGAACAACAAGAGTCTCCTTTGACTTTCACAAGCCTAAAAGGGCTCCTGGGATCATTGGAAAGTTTTATATGTGAAATTTCTGTTTTCCATGGAATGTTGATAACAGTTGTACAATTAGGATAGCCAGATGTGCTGTAGGAAAAGAGCTTCTAGTCTACGACAGCCAAAAATCAGAAGGAATATGGTCAGAAGAACAATACATTTGCACCCGATCTGCCATTTATACACTAAAGTGTCTCCTTGTTGTTGTTTACGTAAAGCTGGATTTCTCACAGCAACAACAATAAAAAACATGCATGAAACAATAAAAAACCAACATCCAAAAATGCAACACCAAAAGCCCTACAGCAGTGGTAGTCAACCTGGTCCCTACTGCTCACTAGTGGGTGTTCCAGCTTTCATGGTGGGCAGTAGGGGTTTTGTCCCCTACTTTATAAATCACCATTACTGTGGAACCGGTGGGCGGTTAGAAAATTTTACTACTAACAGAGATACAAAAGTGGGCGGTAGGTATAAAAAGGTTGACTACTCCTGCCCTACAGCAATACTCTCCAATAACAACAATTACTCGGCTCCAGTCTCACCTGATCCCAATTCTTGAGAAGAAGAGACAGTTTTTAGGGCCTTAATAGAGTGCTTTGGTGATCCATCCATGCAATCATCTGATCTACTAAAGGATTATTTGATTAATCTACCCATACAAAAGACAAATAGAAAGAGTAGATGAAGATCAAGCAGACCAAAAGATGGATAAGAAGAGGAGCTATAAATGGTGTCTTTATTTGAGTAAAGATTCAGTTACTTCCAGATGATAGCGTTGAGTGTGTTCCACCATGCAAAGTGAAGAGAGCAAACAATCATTGTATATTCCTTTAATATTCTACATAAAAACCAAAAGCATTCTGTAAAATCTCAGCTCCTCACTACCTCTTACCTTTACCTGCACTATCTCCTTTTTCCCCTTTCAGCCCTTCATCTCCTTTTGAGCCAGGTGGTCCAGCTTTTCCCGGAGGTCCCTGTATTCCTTTTAATCCTGCCAATCAAATAAAAAAAAAGGTACAAAAGGATAAGTGAAGAAACCGATTATCATCATAGCTAACATGAGCCACAAGACCAGAAGCAATGAAAGAGTTGCTCTATATATTTTGTGTAGGAAACGTGGAACCATTATCGGTCACCAAATAGAACATAGAATAACATGATTGGAAGGGACGTCAGAGGTCTTCTAGAATCTAGATCAACTCCCTGCTCAAGCAAAATCCCTACATTATTCCAGGCAAATGGCTGTCCATCTCTTTTTGGAAGCCTCCAGTAATGGAGCATCCATGACTTCTGGAGATAAACTCTTCCACTGATTTATGGTTCACACTGTCAGTAAATTTTCACTGAGTTCTCAGTTGGATCTCTCCTTTATAAGTTTCCATCCACTACTTCTTGTCCTGCAATCAGGTGCTTTGGAGAATAGCTTGACTCCTCCCTCTTCTCTGCAACAGCTCCTCAAATATTGAAACACTGCTGTCATGTCACCCCTAGTCCTTCTCTTTGTTAGACGAGAATAGAATAAGAGAGTTGGAAGGTCTTCTAGTCTAACCCTCTGCTTAGGCAGGAAACCCTCTACCATTTCAGACAAATGGCTGTCCAAACTCTTCTTAAAAACTTCCAGTGTTGGAGCATTCACAACCTTTGGAGGCAAGTCATTCCACTGGTTGATTGTTCTCACTGTCAGGAAATTTCTCCTTAGTTCTAAGTTGCTTCTCTCCTTGATTAGTTTCCACCCATCATTTCCTGTCCTGCCCTCATATATATATGCCCTCATATATATATATTTTCTTAAGTTTTCGCGGGTACTTACATGTATGGCATTCAGCTTTGTTCGGGTATTTTCCCACGTCATAGTAGTGGTGCTTTTAAAGTTGTAGCAAAGTTTCAGCAGAATCTCATCTGCCATCATCAGGCTTTTGTGTACACACACACACACACACACACACACACACACACACACACACATATATATATATATATATATATATATATATATGGCATTAGGCTTTGTTCGGGTATTTTCCCACATCATTGTAGTTGTGCTTTTAAAGTTGTAGCAACGTTTCGGCAGAATCTCATCTGCCATCATCAGGCTTCTGTATTGTGTTCGTCTGTGAGTCAGACTTTTACAGTGGTTTCAGTTTTAAATTTGGGGCTAGCCTACTGCTGTGCCAGAATGTTTTTTTCTTCATCCTGATTGGTTGGGAGTCTTGGTCTGTGAAAAAACCATTCTATATATGTGTGTGTGTGTGTGTGTGTGTGTGTGTGTGTATGTGTATATGTGTGTATGTGTGTGTGTATGTGTATGTGTATGTGTATATAAATATATTTCCCTCAATTGTTTATCGTATGCGTGATGTTTGGTGGCAAACATCAGAGTTTTGAGATTTGAGATTTATTTATTTTGTCAATTGCTTACAAGATAATAGGTATAAGTATAAACATAGTTATGAATACATGAAATGGATACATATAAGAAAAAATGAAAAGAAACAATAGGACAGGTAGGTACATTGGTGCGCTTATGCACGCCCCCTACAGACCTCTTAGGAAAGGGGTGAGGTCAATAGTAGACAGTCTAAGGTTAAACTTTTTGGTGTTTGGGGAAGAAACCACAGAGTCAGGTAGAGTATTCCAGACATTGACCACTCAACAAGTTTGGTGCGATTAACCTCGAGTTGTTATTGTCTTTACTTTCTCTTACATGATGTAGAATTTATCACTGAACAATGGCTCTGGTCTTAATGTTTGTAATTAACATAGATCTAAGAAAATATAAAGAGCTGTTTGCACTGCACCTGAATCCCCTTTTGGCCCTGGAGGTCCTTCCTTCCCATCTCTTCCTGGCAAGCCATTGCTCCCTGGGGTTCCTGGCAATCCATTAATGCCAGGAACCACAGAGCAAATGTTGACTTTCTCTTCACACCTGCATGTCTCAGGATCTGATGATTTCACCAGGGACACTGCCAGCACCAGGGTGTAGAAAGGACAAAGCAGCATATCTTAAGAATGGGACCTAAAGAGGAGGAAAATGGTAAGGTAAAGGTTCATCTCGCACATATGTGCTAGTCATTTCCAGCCCTAGGGGATGGTGCTCATCTCCGTTACAAAGCCGAAGAGCCAGTGCTGTCCGAAGACATCTCCGTGGTCATGTGGCTGGCATGACTAAACACCGAAGGCACATGGACCACTGTTTCCTTCCCACCAAAAGTGGTCCCTATTTTTCTCCTTGCATTTTTAACATGCTTTCGAATTGCTAGGTTGGCAGAAGTTGGGACAAGGAATGGGAGCTCACTCCATTATGTGGTGCTAGGGATTTGAACCGCCGAACTGCCTAATCAACAAGTTCAGCGTCTTAGCCACTGAGCCACCGCATCCCCGACGAAAATGGTACATATTTCATTTTCCTTTTGTTTGGGATGAAATAACATTCTGACTTTTTAATATTTTGAATGTTTGTAAACTTTCTAATATTTTGAATTTCAATAAAGAATTTTTTAAAATAAAAAAAAGAAATAACATTCTGACATCTTGTGGTGTTTCAGCTGGTGGAACAAGGATTGGATGGCCTTTTTTCCTCCACTTTCCCATTGATCAATTGGAGGGAAACCACTACCTGACTGATGGTATCCCCCTATTCTTTTCTACATTTTGAGGTCATCAGAAGCCAAGAGGATTGTAGCCTGTTTACATATTGTATGAGGGATTGAAGAGTAGTAATTGTTCTAATATCTACTCAAGCAGTTACTATTATATCACCTACAGCATTACAGATGTCATCCAGATGCTAACTGCAACGTTTGCGCTTCACAGGTTCTATATCAAGGGATAGTTATACTGTATATCATGTTTCATCGCACTGTTGGCCAGATGTTCAGACTGGATTTAGTATTTCTATCCAGCTATCGAGCCATCCCCAAGGACCTGGGGTGGGCTGATGTGGATATTTCATGGTGTTACATATATTGTTGCAGGATGTAAGCTGATCCAAGTCAAGCTGCCTTTTGCAATTGACTGAAGATAAACAGAGTTGTAGAAGTTCATAAATTGCTTTGGCGGGAGAGGGGGATGACTATTATTCGTGAAATATATTGACCAGTATGCAACTGGGAAGGGGCAATCTATGTCTATGTGGGTTTTCTTTTTTCCTGTGCACTTTTTAAATGTCTTGTTTAGCTTTGCTTTGTCCTTATGTGCTTTTTCTTTCTTTTGTTTTGGAAGTTGCACTTTAATGCTGTGAATGAAATTAATAATAATGAAAATGAAAATTAAAGAATGGGGCTGTAGGCCTACTACTACCACGCATCACCCAATAACAGTGTAACAATCCAGAAGACTCTGTTTGTTTCTACTAGAAAACAACAACAAAAAGTCTCTTCTTGTTTCTGAGAAAACAATTGAGCAAGCTCCACAGATAATTGCATGTGCAAATATTTGATGTGTTCCATAGCTGCTGAACTAGTTAATCATCAGCATTGTTTTGGAAACAAAATGGAACAAACCTTCCCTCATTTAAAAGGCAATATTTATCAGTCAGCTTAGAACAAGAGAGGTGGAAAAACTGAGCTTGCATATTTGAGACATGGCACACTTAAAGCCCTTCATTGGGGAAGAAAATGGTATTGATTAAGTTAATGAGTCGGGCATTATGCAATAGATCATCAAATGCATATAATCTAATAACAGCCATTACTGGCGCTTGTGGAGAAAGGTATCTTCTCATGAAATCATGCTGGAGCTAGAATAGAATAGAATAGAATAGAATAGAATAGAATAGAATAGAGGTATCAACACAGTCCTACGAAAGCTTAAATTTGTTGCACTTGTATTCTACATAATATAGAATCATTTACTTATCACATGATTCACAAAATCATTTTTTGTTACGCTAGTAATTTAACGCAGAAGTTAAATATTTAGCCCCATAATCAATTCATACCTGCCACTTAGCTTAAAACGTTTCAGGCTGCTGCTGTTTATTGACCTTGACTGCACCTCAGATACCGATTTGCTGATCCTACATTTGTTTTATTTTACAGATTATCTGATACTTTTGAGACCTGCTACAAAGGGACTGCTTTGTGGAATAATAAACATTTCACACCTTGTGTTCACTGTGAATAAAAATGGGGAATGTGTAGTTTCAGAAACAGTGGATTTGGCAAAAGAACTTGATATTTAAGGGGGTCCTTGGTGCTCTTTGAGGTTTGTTGTTTTCTTCAGGAATCTCATTATTCAACAAGGGAACATCATCAGTGCTAGAAGGGATAGGGGGTTGTGGAGAGGAGGAGGAGGAGAAGGAGAAGGAGGAGGATGACTTTGGGATCCTTGGCACTCTCTGAGGAGGAGGAGGAGGGAAAAGGAGCAAGAGGAGGAGGAGGGGAAAGGAGGAGGATGATATGAAGAGGAGGAGGAGGTGGATTGTGGGGTTCTTGGTTCTCTCTGAGCTTGGTTGTTTTCTTGAAGATGTTTCATTAGCCCAACTAGGTAACATCATCAGTGCTGGAAGAGAGGGGGTGTTGTGGGGAGGAAGAGGAGGAAGAGGAGGGGAAAGGAGCAAGAAGAGGTGGAGAAAGGGAAAGGATGAGGAGCAGGAGGAGGACTATGGGGTCCTTGGTGCTCCTGAGCTTGGTTGCTTTCTTGCAGATGTTCATTACCCAAACCAGCCTAGCACTGTTGATATTTCCTAGTTTGATAACAGTTAATGAAACATTTGCAAGCTCAGAGAGTACCAAAGACCCCTCCTTTCAACCCTGAGCTAAACTTTTATAAATCAATAAAATTTTATAAATCCATAAAAAAATAAAATAAAACCCTTTATTCATTTCATCTGTTCCTTGCTGTGGCATTCTTTCTTTCCCCCTTTCAGTTTACTCACTGTTTCCTTGTCGTGTTTTGTTCACTTCACCTGGATCCCCCCTCCCATTTTTACCTATCAAAAATAATTAAGATTCTGCTTCAGAAATCACAGAAAAAAGATTAGCAAATCGAGGGTTCTTCAGCAAGTTTGATACCGAAAAATAAATTACTTACACAGCACTGAAAGAAACCAGCTCTCCGTGTATGCGTTTCTCAGGCAGTGATTTTGCAAAATCCGATTCTTTCACTAATCATTATCTAAACAACAGGGGGAAAATATTTATTTGTTGTTTGACTTCACCCAGTTTATTTTACGTGTTGCGGGAAATTCCAGTGGAATTCACTCTTTGATACCGTTCTAAATATGTTGCAACGATTTGCAGAAGAAGAAAAGAACAGATGAAGCAAGAGTTAGCTGGGGAAACTGCATTTTTTTTTCTTAGAAAAAGCAAATTAACAAACCAACTTTGGCTTTAAACAAAGAAGAACGTCTGTGCATTGCAAAATGTTACAACACAGGATAGGACATAACAGATTTAAAAATAATTTACTCAGGGAACTGGCAAAAAGCTATACTGTGGAGAAGATAAAAAAGAAATGAATGCAAGAAAAGTTGGAAAAAAGATATTAGACAATCACTCCAAGCATTGGGCTAGATCCCATGGCTCTGGTGTCTATGAATTAATGTTATAAATGCTATAAATGTTAATCTGGTATGGGGTCTCATGCCTGAGCAAGGGGTTGGACTAGAAGACCTCCCTGGTCCCTTCCAAGTCTATTCTGGTTGATTGATATTACCAAAAGTGTATCATTGTCTAGAGGAGGGTTTCTAGACTCTTGGCTGGAGGGGGAAATTCCAATTTTATGTCACAAACTTCTAAATGAAATTTAGATTTTTGTTCAATCATAAATGCAGGCACTTTTCTTTTTCAAAAAAACATTTCATTGAACAAATATTTAAAAGCACCATAAAGAACAAAAGGGGAAGAAGAAATAGAAGAGCAAAATATAGATGTTTATGTATGTATTTTATTTATATCTTGCTTTTATTACTTTTACAAATAACTCAAGGCACATGAAATATTATTTCCTCTTCCTATTTTCCCGACAAGAACAATGCTGTGGGGCAAGTTGGGCTGAGAGAGAATGATGGCCCAAAATCACCCAGCTGGCTTTCATGTCTAAGGCTGGACTAGAACTCACAATCACCTGGTTTCTAGCCTGATGCCTTAGCCATTAGACCATTTGGCTCTCCAAATCTATCTATCTATCTATCTATCTATCTATCTATCTATCTATCTATC